CTCACATTCCAGAGGTTTTTGCACATAAACTCATAGATGTCGACACACGACTCACTTTTATTACCGTCCGCCACTGATAGTAACCTTGAGTAAAACAAATTTCTAGATACACTTCCCCTTCGACTCTCGTGTTAGTGATACTATAGACAAATTATGCAACCGGGGAAGGGGAGGGGTAAAGAATTTCAGTAGGTCTTTTGCCAAATTATCCAAAATTTTCCAGAAGAAAAGAAAAAAAGGCAGATTTATCTTTATTGAAGTGTTTTTTCCGGGTCTTACACTATGGAATTTGTGACTTTGCCAAATCTAACAATAGGAATTGCTTTATCCAGCGATTGAGTTGAATATCATGGTTAATTGTCTTTTACGTTAGGTTACGGTAAAAATCACCTACATAATTTAAGCTTGTTATTCATCTATTCGACCTTCACAAAAGGGCGAATTTCCGGATATGGACGTGAACTTGGTCAGCCTACTCCAAAGTCGAATGATCGCGCCGTCAGCCTAGGGGTTGCAATAGGCCCCTGACGATCATAAAAATATCCCGCTTACCTTCTCCCGCTTCCCCCCTCCCCCCTTACCCTTTACATCACCCCTTGTTTTACTCTTAGCCGCTTTTGATATTCGCATTCACCCATTTATCGAGTCATCCGAAAAGACAGCAATCATCACCGCTCGCCTTTGACCCAGATCGTCCCCCCTATCTGGGCAGCCCGCCACCCGTGTATGCGAACTCCCCACCCCACGTCCGGACAACCGCTATTTTCGAAGATTGAACACCATGATAGAATCGGCATACACTTGTACAAAGGTACCCCGCCCTACGCCCAGCCAACAACGACCTCATTTAAATCTCATTGAACGGGGAGAGAGCTAATGCGGGTTATCGTACTGGGTGGGAATTGTTGCAGTTTCATCATTTATTATGTTACTTTTGTATCTGAGATATTTGTTATTCAGGAAGAAATCCACCGTAGTTGAAAGTATACGAAGTTAGATTTGCATATTGCATCCAAAACATTTGATTGCACGTTAAGTACGGTGGAAAGCCGCCGGAATGTTTTGATGCTGTTATTTCATTTTCTTTTCCATTCACTCAATTATTAAAGTCATTCTCATCATAATTTTTTGTCTCTTAGACGTCCTTCTGATTTGATGCTGTAAAATCACAAGAGGTTTTCTCTACACTTAGGTCACTATCTGGTTTTCTATCGCTTCCCACTGTCACCTTCAGATGTCACAGGACATCTTCCCTATTACGGTCATCCTGATTTATCCATATGAATCACTCTCATCGCTTATCAAATCAAACTGGTTCAAGTCTTCATCCACCCATGAACGTTTCCTTATAAGTCCGACTTGCATTTTCATCTGTCATTTGCTCGTTTGTATGTCAGTCCGTCATTTTGTCGTTTAGTCTTTACTCACTCGCCCATTTTACGTCCTCTCATCACCACTTATACCTTAGCTCATGTTTTCCAACGAAATAGGTGACGCTTCAATTAGCGCTACTTGACGTCCTTGTTCCGGTTACACGCGAAAATGCCATT